TTATTCGAATAACTTTATTTATTCGCTTCAAATTTATTAATTAAATATTTATTAATCATTAATTATTAATTATAAATATATTTATTAATTATTACATATATATATATATATATATATACACATAAGATATTTATATAGGATAATTTTATTTCTATAGGTAAAATGGCCTTGCGGATAAGATGGTTCTATCTCGTAAAAGCTATAAAATGCTTCTGATTTTCAATTATATTTGATAATATTTTATATTGCATATAAAATACGTTAACTGTAGTTTTTGTTCGTTTCTAATTAATATGATATATGTAATTTTTGTAATTTATGTAATTGCTATATATAATTATATTTTTTATATAAGTTTTTATAATTTGTACATATCATACATATATTTTTCATATACATTTTATAATATAGAGATTATTTAATGATCATTGATTAATTTTTAAATTACATAATTTACTTTTTTTACAGAAAATGCCGATTTACATCAAGTACTGCATTAAAAAAAATCTATATAAAAAGAAAGAAAGAAACCTTGATTTATATAAGTTAATGCATCCATCTATAAAAAGATAACATAAAAAATCTTATTAAATATTTTCTCATTTCTATTAAAATCAATTGATTTATAATTAAGCTATAAATGGTAAGTATTTTAAACGGTAAGTATTTGTAGAATTAAGAAAACTGTTGAAAAAACATTAATACCGTATGCAATAACATTTACGAAGTAAAGGTAAGTAAAGGTAAGTATCGAACAGGTAAGTATATAAAAGTTGAACAAAAATTTATATTTCGGAAATTCCAAGAATTTGACGTCATTTCTAGGAATTTTCCCAAAACAAACAAACGAAAAATGTAAATAAACATTGAAAATGTAAATAAACAAACCTTTGTTTATAAACAAAGGAAAATTTTAAAAACCAAACTTTGAAATTGTAAAAATTCTCGGAAATTCTAAGAATTTGACGTCATTTCCAAGAATTTCGGAAATTCCAGGAATTTGACGTCATTTCTAAGAATTTTCCCAAAACAAATAAAAAAAATGTAAATAAACATTCAAAATCAAAATAAACAGACCATTGTTTGCAAACAAACGAAAATTTTCAGATTTCGATATGAAATTTTTACAAATTTTCGAAAATTTTTGTAAATAAACATTGAAAATGTAAATAAACAAACGAAAAATGTAAATAAACATTGAAAATGTAAATAAACAAACCTTTGTTTATAAACAAAGGAAAATTTTAAATCAAACTTTGAAATTGTTCATCTATTCGAAAGTTCTAAGAATTTGACGTCATTTCCAAGAATTTCGGAAATTTCAGGAATTTTTAGTGACGTCATTTTCATAAGAATTGAATTCAAATTTTTTGGTTAATCATACTTAGATTATACGTAGATTTTAATGAAAATACTCACCTTCATACTTACCTTTATACTTACCTTTTTAAACTCCATATTTCCAGAAGAAACATTTTTTTATCATTTTACTTAATTCTAATTATAGAATTTATAATATACTTGCCTATTTTATCAGAAGCTTTTATTTTGGTGTAGCAATTACTTTTTATTTATTAAAAATTTCAGTTTTTTTTAAGCTCACATAGTAAAATTACAATTTCAAATAAATTTTTCGTATCAATTTTAATGAAATTCTTCTGAAATTATTTATTAACGATTAATATGTAATATCTAATTGATATTATTGATACACAATATGTTTTTCATGTTTTTTAATTTTTTATTAAAATGGGATTTATTTTAAATAATATGATGTATATTTTATGCATTTGAAATATTGTTTTCTCTGTTATTTTCATTAAATTTTATTCATATTTTATTATTTTTATTGTTATATAAATGAATAATCTAATATTATTTGATTAATACATGATAATCATTAATAAATAATTAATTGAGAAAAAATTTTATAAAATTTATATGAGAAACTTGCCTAAACTTCTAATTTCAATATGAACTTAAAAATATTGATATTTTCGAAAATAGAAAACGAGTAATTAAAAATTTTGTAACAGAAGCCAATTTTTATTACGAAAAATAGTAATTATATTAGTAGTCCGAATAAGTTTAAAATTTTATTAATTTATTTTCACTATTCATAGCATTGACTTGTACTTAAAATTACCGCGTTTTCATTGAAGAGATGTGAATTGTACATGTAACTACAAATATTTTGTGATTGTAGTTGAATTTATGGTTAAAAAAACTTGGTGAAAATCGGATACGTGGTTATAGTACGATGGTTGTGGAAGAAAAAAATAGTGAATCATTGAGAGAAAATCAAATAAATGATGATACGACGTCGACGGAACAGAAGACGTACTCGTTGGAAAGTATCCTTTTGAAAAAGATTTTAAATATACGAAAATTGTTCTGTCAACGCCATATGTTATTTTCTAACCTATATTTTTCCTTTTTCTTTTTTTTTTAATTATATAAATTTTTTTCTAATACACAATAAACAAAATAAAAAAAATAATTTAAATAAATGTATAAAAGATATTATAAAAATTATTTTTTACATTTTATACTTTTATTTTGAAACATGATTCAGTTCATTTAATTAATAATCTTCATTTTTCTTCCATGTTTGTAAATCATATTCTAGTATTTCTAATAATAATATCCTTGACAATTAAATAGTTCTAAAAATTATAAAAGAAGCACAACAACAACATGGGTTAAGACATGGTGACTATCAGCGATATCGTGGTTATTGTTCAAGAAGACTTAGACGTCTTAGAAAAGTTTTAAAAGTTCCACAAGGAGACAAACGTCATTTTAAAAGAAGAGATATATTACCTGCAATGGTTACTGATGATAAATTTTTACAAGTTCCCTTAATAATGGCAGAACGTGCTTGGAGTTATGCTATGCAGTTACGACAAGAATCTAACACGGAACCAAGGAAAAAGTTTCATTTGATATCTAGGCTAAGAAAAGCTGCTACATATTCTTTACAATTACAAGAACTGATAGAGGTAACCTATATTCTTTCATAATTTCAAGTATTGATTTTTTAATACAAATATGTATTTTAGAGTGTTAATTGTGATGCAAGAACAAAATTAGAAGCTCAAGCATATGTCGCATGGATACATGGATCTTTACATTTTGAACTGCAACTTTGGAAAAAAGCAATGGAAAATTTGAAAAAGGCTCAGGTAGTATATGGAAAACTAGCTTCTGCATTATCAGAATCTGAGCAAATAATGTACAATGCTCGTGTTGAGGAGCTTGCTCCGAGCCTTAGATATTGTGCCTATAATATAGGAGATACCACTGCCATAGATGACTTAATGCAAATGAGAGGACAACTAAGTGGCGAATTATTAGCTAATTTAGATTCATTGATAGCTCAAACTCGAGAAAAACAAGCAAATGCTGAAGAAGTGACTTGGCGTGGTCAATCATGTGGTGTAGTACCACCAAGAGCAGCTGGTCTTTTAATTGCTGATTCTAGATTAAATCAAACATTAGAAAAAGCAGCAACAAATCAAGCTAAAATTGATTTGCTGGAAGCACACTTAATAGATTGTAAAGATGCAATCTCAATTGTACGAGATTTATTTAAAAATGAATTAAAGAACAAAGATAACGATAAGCTATCCCCTTCACAACATTTAATTACGTATTTGCAATATATTAGATTGTCTCGTACATTGGAAAGAAATTTAGCATTGATCAAAGCGGCGGAAGAATCTGCAAAAACGAACCACAGGATATTGTACGATTATACGAAGCAGCACTTCATAATCTTGTTGAAATATCACAGCTGCAAGATGATGAAGAATTTGTACGTGAGCAGGAAGCTAAAACAAAGGGTTATAGAGCCTTTAGATGTTATTACATGGCGCAATCGTTAGCGAATCTTCATCGATGGCGGGAAGCCATGGCTTTATATCAAAGATCTGCACAACACGCAAAAGATGCGCTTGAAAATTATGATAAAGTGCTTCCAGAATCATTAAAAGAAGCTCTCCAAAAATTAGAAATTTCTATAGAAGGTGCCAAGTATGCAGCACATGCGCACAGTGTTTTAGAGGATGGACAAGAAGAAGAATCTGGTATTAATAAATACACAAAAACGAAAAAACCTCTGTATGAACGTTTATACGAATATAGAGAAGATAATGCGCTTCTTACGAAACAACCTAACGTTTACAAATTGCCACCATCTATGCAACCTATTCCTTGCAAACCACTCTTTTTCGATTTAGCTTTCAATATGGTTGAATTTCCTGATTTAAGCGAAAAACTTGGCGATCAAGCTAAAAAAGGAGGCCAAGCTGGTCTTACAGGATTTGTTAAAGGTCTTTGGGGTTGGGGAAATAAATAAAATAAGGAAAACATTTGAAAAACATTCGATTTTAAATGTTATCGAACATAGTACGATAATGTATTTTTACGATATTCATTTGCCATGATAAGAATCAAGTTTTCACTTATAACAGCAATATTGAATAACGAGAAATAAAGAGAATATTATTAATATATGTTTGATTTTTTACTAACATTTAACCCTATATTTTTATAAGAAAATATATTTATTATTTATTTATTATTTAATATTATTATATTTCCTGAATAGTGTTGAACTAAATGGAATTTTTATCATTTATTATAGAAAAAAAAAAAAAAATTAATACTTGAGCTTGCGTATGGAATGATTTATCTTAAATCTTGAAAAAAATTGATACAATACTATACCTGTTGATTTATATACTATATTATGTGTTATTATGCTGTTATATGTTCTCGGATTTCAGTATGTAACATATAAGTATAAAGTAAGAAAAATATCTGATAATCACGAGATTGATATCAGTTAATTATTTTAAATATAATTATTTTGTCCGTTATTTGAATTTATATTTTTATATGAAATTAAAAATCTTCTAGAAAGCATACTAAAAGTATAATAAAAGTTTTATAAAATTAAATGATAAAAAATAACTAACCTTAATAAGCGATTTCATCTTTTTTTTTTAAATTTTGTGTTTGTATTAAAAATTGAAACCATGTTGAAAAATTTAGACGCAATGGATGCTGAATTAAAAGAGCTAGCTATAGCACTTTATGAAATAGATGCATTTAAATTTGGTGATTTTGTAACTAAAGTTGGTCTTAAAACTCCAATATATTTTGACTTAAGAGTATTAATATCGTATCCAAAAATAATGGTAAACATTATGTAATAGTGATTATAATTATTTTCATATCTCAAATACATTTATACATATCTCAAAGTAATATAAAATAATATATTTATAATACTTACATTTATCTTATGTATAGGTTCGCTTGGCAAAAATACTATGGACATTTGCAGAAGAATGTCCAGATATAACACAAATTTGTGGTGTTCCTTATACAGCTTTACCATTAGCAACATTGATTTCTGCAGACTCTAATGTACCCATGTTAATAAAACGAAAAGAAGCAAAAGCATATGGTACAAAAAAGATCATAGAGGGTAATTTTAAGCAAGGAGATCATTGTGTGATTATTGAAGATGTGGTCACAAGTGGTAGCAGTATTTTAGAAACAGCATTTATTCTAAGAAAAGAAGGTTTAAAAGTAACAGATACATTTGTTGTAATTGATAGAGAACAAAATGGTAAGAAAAATATAGAGCATCATGGAATTAGAATGAGGAGTTTATATACAACTACTAGACTTATGGCATATTTGTTAGAAGCTAACAAGATTACTCCAAAAATAGTTAAAAATGTGACCGATTACTTATTAAAATTCCAAGCACCAATCATTTCTGTTCAAGGTAAGAAAATGTTTAATAATAATAAATTGATTATTTATTATATTAATTGAATTTTTTTATCTTAAAAAATTTCAGATAAACGGTTAAAAACTCCATTTCATATTCGTAGCACAAAGACCAAAAATGCAATTGCTTCTAAGTTGTTTAATTTGATGGAAACAAAGAAATCCACTATATGTCTAGCAGCAGATTTGACTAAAGCAGATGATATTATAGAAATAGCTGATTTAATAGGACCGCATATTGTGTTATTTAAAACACATGTAGATATATTGGAAGATTTTAGCTATGATTTTATCAAACGTTTGAAAGATTTAGCTAAAAAACACGACTTTTTATTGATGGAAGATAGAAAATTTGCCGATATCGGAAATACGGTATCCTTACAATATGAGAAAGGCATTTATAAAATATCTGAATGGGCAGATATTGTTACAGTGCATGCAGTTGCAGGTCCAAATATTATAGATGGCTTGAAAAATAGTTTAAAAAATATAAATGAACCTCGTGGTTTGTTTATATTAGCGGAAATGTCTTCCAAAGGAGCTTTGACGGTTAATGAATATGCGCAGAGCGCTGTATCTATCGCACAAAGTTCGGATATGGTGACTGGAATTGTTTGTCAATCAAATATTTTCTCAAATTTGGGACTTATTCAATTGACACCAGGCGTAAAACTATCGAAAACTTCTGATAATTTAGGACAGCAATACAATATACCAGAATCTGTTGTAAATTCTGGAGCTGATTTAGCTGTAGTTGGTAGAGGTATTACTGAAGCTCAAGATAAATTGGCTGCCACTTTACAATACAAAAAGGAACTTTGGACAGCTTATCTGAAACGAATATCGAATTAGTAAATATTTCATTATTTTATAGATGGATAAAAGCCAAAGTAGGGGAAATATATATCTTTTTATTTTTGAACATGTGTACAATAATTAAAAATCGTAAATAAACGAATGACATTGAGTTTTAAAGAAAACTTGTAAGTAGAATAATGCATAGATTTACAGATTTTAATGTATATACATTATACAATGATAATATAATAATCTATTCACATTTTTGTACAAAAAGTTTAAAATGTAAAATGTAAATGTTTTATCAACACTGACATAGAATTATATATACACACATGTACTAATTTGTTACAATGTGCAAAATCTTTTATATATTTCTCATAAATGCTATTATATAAAAATCGTTGTATTTGTACACATATATTCTACCTCTTTTATGTAAAATGCAATTAAACGATCCCCTTATGATCCTATATATTATTTGTATACAAATATTTTACATATATGTCTCATATGTTTATTATGTCATGATAATATATTTTCCACTAAAACCTGAATGTTTTTCTTTTCAAATTAATTTATCTTATTTAGTCTTACTAAAAAATATTAAAAAAATGCGAAAGTTCGCAAAGGGCTAATATTATCGCCACGAACAAGTACAGTATTTCATTGAGAACACCGTGTACATGAGATCAAATTTTTCATGCTTCCTTGCTCTGGGTAAGTTCCTCGACTAGCTTTCGAAACACTTGTGCTACCTGACTATCAGGTAATGTTATTAGAATGCTTTGACCAGTATGTGCTAGTTTTCCCACTTGTGGATCTATAGGCACTTTTGCTAGGAATGGAACATTTACCATTTTAGAAAGAGCTATTCCTCCACCCGCGGAAAATATATTTGTACATTCCTATAAATAATTTTATGTAAATAAAAAATTTGTTTTATAATTTGTTTTTATAATTTAAATAAATAGTTTATACTAACTGAACATGATGGGCAGACAAAACCACTCATATTTTCAATAATACCAAATATATGAATCCCAGTTTTTCTACAGAATGTTATTTCTCGTAAAACATCATCCACTGCAACTGCTTGTGGAGTAGTTACTATAAGTGCACCGTCACATTTAACATTTCTGAAAAAATATTTAATCATTTTACTTTGATCTATCATTATATGTTGAAATATTCTTTGTTAATACACATTCAAATATACTGTGTAAGCTTATCAATCTCATGACTAATCCTTATCTAACAAGAAATGTACCTCATTTGAATGTCACATGATTATTAATCATAGTCATGTGTAGAGACTAAAAGCACATGACGTTATAAATAGTACAAATCCATAAAATGTTTTATATGTACTTTTCTTTTATAATTAGTGTGACAAAAATAAGTAAGAATAAAACAAATTTTAATCGTACTTCAAGTTTTCCATTACTGTGATGTGTTCATCTGAGGTTCCTGGTGGTGTATCAATAATTAAATAATCAATATCTTGCCAAATGACATCTGTTAAAAATTGTTTAACCATTCCAGTTTTTTTTGGACCTCTCCAAACAATACTATCATTTTGATTTTTTAATAAAAATCCTATAGACATGACAGCTAATTTTTGTTCCTTGTCTGCAAACACTGGCACCCATCTACATAATAAAATATTAATAATATAATTAAATAATTATATTTTATAAATAAATATGTATAAATATGAAGAAAAATACATAATAATTTTTTATAATATTTATAAAATATTAGAGAGAAGTGATTTTTATGGGAATGGATAGTAATTATCTTCAATACCCGTCAGAAGATTGATGAACATCTCTGTCTTCTAAATTTAACAAATAAGGCACACTAGGTCCACAAAGATCGACGTCTAACAAACCAACCTACAATATTTTTAATATATAAGTAGTATAACCTACAACTATCAAGAAATTTGAAACTTACTCGAAAACCTGATTCCTTAAGTGCAAGTGCCAATTGTGTGCTGATTGTTGATTTTCCAACACCACCTTTACCAGAAAGCACTAACAAAACATGTTTGACACCTTCCAACATTACGAAAAGAAATGCGCAAACACCACCGGCGATGTAACCTCCACGACAGTCGGTCGCGTTCTGACAATTTTTGTTTTCTATCAGTTCTACATATGTCGAGGCTAATGTAAATTTCGTCAAATACAAAAAATTTTAATTACAATGTATTCAAATTTACATAAATTAAAAAGCGAGACATATTTTAACTCGTTGGATAAAAAAATTTTTTTGCGATATAATTTATTTCAGTAATTTTACATTTAGAAATAATAATTATTACAAATGTATTATGATATAAAGTGTCATCACGTTGCGTACAATTTTATTTCCTTAAAAATAAAAAAAATATATATAAAAATTCTTAAGCAAAAGTTACTTAAATTTTGTCACCACTGAACTGACATCTGTACGGAGGAACTAAAAAATTTAATTTGAAATTTTTAAATATACAATGAAAATTAATGTTTAATCTTAACAATTTATAATTTTTATTAAATAATTTTTCCCGAATAAGTAATATCTAAACTAAACGAATATAGTGATAATGTCTGTATTCGTTTTTGCGATCTTATGGTAATCAATATATTTATGTATCTATTAGCAACGGTGACTAAAAATGGTAAACATTGCATTGTGCATCGCATTTTCTTTTTTCTTTAATATATATAATTTACCGATGTTCTAAAAATCACATTCTTTTACGTTCAATCATTCGTATTATTTCCAATTGATTCAGTAATATATAATTGATTTTTTCGAAACGAATTTGTTTTAATATCTACGATAAAAACTTGTGATAGATATTATCAAGAGCTAAACCAGCGTCTTCCGAGGGAGTGAAAAGATCTACATCGGACAAAAAAATACCGAAATTAGAGGAATTTTTAGAGAAACGCGATTACACAGGTGCTTTGACACTTTTGGAATTCAACAACGCCTCAGAAAATACTTTAAACTCCGAGCTATGGATGGGTTATTGCGCGTTCCATTTGGGGGATTACAAACGTGCAGCTACGATTTACGAAAATTTACAAAAAAGGGACGAAACACCGGCGGATACCTCGACAAATTTGGCATGCTGCTATTTCTTTCTTGGAATGTACCCTGAATCACAAAAACTCTTGGAGGATGCGCCGCACAGTAAATTGAAGAACAGACTTTTATTTCATTTGGCGCATAAAATGGGCAACGAGGCGAAATTAATGGAGTATCATCACATGTTGGAGGATGTAATAGAGGATCAACTTAGCTTGGCATCGATTCATTATCTCAGAGCGCATTATCAAGAGGCTATCGACGTTTACAAAAAGATTTTGTTAGAGAACAGGTTGTAATCCACCTGTTTCTTTTATTTTTTTTTTTTTTATTCTGCTTGATAAATGAATTAGAATTTCGATATTTGAAATCAAGTTGTTCTTTAGGGATTTTGATAGCGATGATACGAGTAGCAATGATGAAAATCAAAGTGATAAAAATTCAGACGTTTGCTTGATCAAAGAATTAAGAAATTCCAGGTATCCGCTTCCTTCCCCTCCTTCCTTTTCCACTTCCGCTGTTCGAAAATATTCCACGACTTATTTTCGAAAAATTTTATTCACATATTCACGTTTCCTCTTTTTTTTACAGAGATTATTTTGCGCTAAACGTATACGTTGCTTTGTGTTACTATAAATTAGATTATTATGACGTAGCTCAAGAAGTTCTCCAAGTTTATTTGCAAAAATATCCCGACAGTGCAATAGCGATAAATTTAAAAGCGTGCAACCACTTCCGTTTATACAATGGTAACGCTGCACAAAGTGAGATGAAACAATTGATAGAAAAGATGTCCAACTCTTTCAGCTTTAGTCACGATCTTATACGCCACAACGCGGTTGTACGTAACACGTTTACGAATTTTTTTTCTTTAACATCTTCAACCAATCCAATCTTTCCTTTTTTTTTTTTAGGTTTTCAAAGGTGGAGAAGGTGCATTGCAAATTTTGCCCAATTTGGTGGATGTTATACCAGAAGCCAGACTGAATTTAGTAATTTATTATTTAAAACAAGACGACGTGCGGGAAGCATTCGAATTAATTAAAGATCTTGAACCAGCTGTGCCACAGGAATATATTTTAAAAGGAATAGTTAATGCAGTGATGGGGCAAGAGATGAATGCTGTAAGTTCGTACGAAGATAAAATTAATAATTAATAAATTAAATAAATTTGATCGATTGATTAAATTTTCAGCGCGATAACATAAAAACGGCGCAACAGTATTTTCAATTAGTGGGCTCCTCCGCATCTGAATGCGATACCATACCTGGTAGACAATGCATGGCATCTTGTTTCTTCCTCTACCGTCAATTCGAAGAAGTTCTCGTGTACTTAAATTCAATAAAGACTTATTTCTCCAATGAAGATAATTTCAACTTCAATTATGCGCAAGCACAAACCGCAGCAGGCTACTTCAAAGAGGCAGAAGAGGCGTTCTTAAATATACGAAACGAGAAATATAAGAATGATTATATTTACATTAGTCTCCTGGCGCATTGTTGTAATAGCATATTGATATAATTTTTAATTATTCTTACTCATTGTTTTTACTACATATATTCTTTAATTCTAATTCAGTTATAATGAACAAGAAATCCCAATTGGCTTGGGATTTGTACCTAAAAATGGACACAACGGCGGAATCGTTCAATCTGCTCCAATTGATAGCCAACGATTGTTACAAAGTCGGTGAATTTTGGTACGCAGCGAAAGCATTCGACGTGTTGGAACGAATGGATCCAAGTCCCGAGAATTGGGAAGGGAAACGTGGCGCTTGTTGCGGCGTGTTTCAATACATCGTGGCTGAAAGGCAACCGAAGTATACAATCCTTTTATTATTCCATTAATCCGACAAATTCTTTGTAACGTATTTTTTAGAGAGCTGCTACCTGAAATTATACAACTTTTGAAGAACACTTCGAATTCACAAGTGGAGCAGATCATTCGAGTGATGCGCAAATGGGGTAAAGATAACAGAATTAATTGTTGATATAATAGAAATCGAGTGGACAGATGAACGAATCGTTTAAACCTGAAACGTAACTTTATCTCTTATCTATATATACAGTTTTATGTTAATGGATTTATATATATTATGCAACACGTGTTTACTGTTATATTTACTGTTAATTAATAATATATAAACTATTTTATTATAAGATCTAAAAGAACTGTGTAAAGAATTAACTCACGGCGTTGATGATTTAATATAAAATAGATATATTTAAACTGTGATACACTCATTTTATAATATAATAATAATAATAATAATAATCATAATAATAATAATAATAATAATAATAATCATTGTAATAGCAATAATAATAATTAATTTTAACAAACACAATCGGTGAATCGTAAAAACACCATAGTCGATGGCGTACACCGCATTCGCATACTTGCACAACTCCGATACAAAAAAAAAAAAAAAAAAAAAAAAAAATTCGACATTCTTCGAACGAAATGCATTTTTGGAAAGTCACGAGGAATCGAAAAACTTGTTCCATTCTCCTCGTGATTTTCCAACAAAACAATTCCGATGGAATGGCTGCTGAAGTTCAGCAAAAGAAACAAGGAAGAACACCCAATCACGAACATTGCGGGCATTCCAAAAATATTGAGCAGACGAAGAAAATGCAAGGAAACTCTTTAACGATACCCTATTAAATTATATATATATATAATTATTTGTAATAATACAATAAATCGTTTAAAACTCGTTCGGTAGCCTTTGCCCTTTGGCCAGTAATCAATGTTTTCGCGTACAAATAATATCTTTTTGCGTCTTTGTTATTAAGATAATATTAATTAAAGAATTAGTAGCAATATATATTGAACATTTCCTCGATCTATTTCCTCCTCGTATCAAAAATATTTAACGTAAGAACGATTTTCGCTATTGAATATCTATTTGCAATAACTAAAAATTATCATCATATCGTCAAGATATTGGTTAAATTTCCAATTTTTGTCGAAATGTTGGATTACTGGAAAGGGCGGCGAACCAACTTCAAGAGTCAGAGAATCTCAACTTATTTTCCACGGTTTCATCTAAGAAGGCAGTAAAAAGAGTGTTTCTTTCTTGACAACAGTTTGAAAATTCTCGTGTCCTACGCTTTTTATTATTCGACGCGTTTCAAAATGTTAGAGAGAGAGAAGGAGTGCCCGATATCAAATCGTGGCTACGTTTTCCATATATAAAAATAGCACCAGAAAAATGATTTCCGCGGTGCCTTTCAACGGCACAACGACAATTGTAAATTTCTTTCTTTTCTTTTTTTTTTTTTTTTTTCGTTGCGATTCGCGCGAATTTCTATATTCGGCACTCGTTCTCTGATTCGTTTCAATGGACTTTTTTCCTTTCTTTTTTTTTTTTTTCCTTATGACATGGATAATATAGTCCACCGGATATAAAATAATCTCGCGAGTCCATACAGTAATCGATTATTACATGTTCTTTAACATTCTTGAGGGGAAAAAAGAAAGAAGAAGAAAAGAAGAAAAGAAAAGGAAAGGAAAGGAAAAGAAAAAGAAGAAGAAGAAGAAGAAAAAGAAAAGGACATCGCGGTTCCTCGATTTCCCATACATACATACAACAACGATGATATCTGTGTTTCCGTCGATATTACGCTAAAAACGTACCTTACTTTCCACTATTCTAAATGTGTATGTAAATACGGTAATGATAGAGCGGAAATCTCTCGTGTTCTCCTCACTCTCGACTTTCCTTCTCTCGTATTATCTCTTTCTCTCAATTCTTATTAAACAATCATTCAAAGATATTTTTTTTTTTCCCTTTTCACGCGATCCTCACACTTACTCTACTCTCTCCTTTCCTATCGTCATCGTTTTAAAAAGATTCTAATGATTTTTGTGCTCCCACTTTCTCACGCTTTACGTACGAGCAATGTACGAGCAAAGTATTCTCTCTCTTCTTTTTTTGTTTGTTTGCATCTTTTTTTCGCTTCCCCCCCCTTTTTTTCTTTCTTTTTTTTTTTTTGGTCAATCTGCCAACGATCGATCAAAGATCGTTGCATGGGCGGCGTAATCTACCGTTACAACGTTAACGTTAAAAACTCGCTGCTTCGCAATGACAACGACTATGTGAAACGATAGGTTGTCTACGGATAATGCAACATCCCGACATGCCATCATTGCGGTACAGTAATTCATCAGAAATCTAAAATCTGATCGAGAAACGTTAGAAACATGGTCGAACTTCGATCTACGAACGAGAGACTCGCGCACCGATTGGCACAAGTCCGTAATCCAATATTTCAATCGGTACGCTAACGGTCCCCAACGGATACACAGGGACTCGTACCGATCGATATTTTCAATTCCTAAAAGTATTTCTAAATTCAAAAACTGGAGAAACGCTTAACGCTTTCGTTCGATCCGTTGCAGTCGTCATTGCAGTAATATTGAGCTGTGTACAATCGTGAAATTTTTAATCGAATTTAAAAACTAGATGTTACGTATGTTCATTTTTACATCACTTACTTATCGCTAGACGATACACTTTCGATCACTTTCGACTGCAATGAACGTTATTCAATTATTCATCTAAACAATGCTACAAATGCTCTCTCAAAAGACTTTCGTTTGGGCGGGTGGGTTCCCACCATCCCCTAAGCAGCCTCTAACTTACAAAGAACGAGCTTAAACAGTTAAAAAACAGGAAGTGGCACCTCCACGACGCTCGAAAAAGATTCATCCTTAACATCGAAGTACTGTACGGATGTTGCATCTTGTTGCGTCGAGATATTCACCCGTCGCGTAGACGCGTGGATAAACGTACGACAATTTTCTATGCGACGCGTAAATATCCCGTCTAAGGTAAATTACACGGTAAAGTTAATAGTAAGAAGAAGAAGAAGAAGAAGAAGAAGAAGAAGAAGAAAAAAAAAATCTACTTAAAGAACCATGTACATAGAGTATTTTTAACAGAGACGATCTTGCGACGAAACTAACTTCGGAAAAAATCGCTGGTTTCATTGTTACGTGAGCGAGACGGAAGTTAGTTTCAAGATTCCCCCTTTACACCTTAGGAAAACGATCCGCTGGCAAGATCGAGAAAGAGAGAGGATAGATCGTGAAGTTGGTTTCAAGCACCTTCGTAACGTTCCAACTTCACGGTCCACGGTTAAAGAATTGTCGTTTGGCATTTAAATATGGCGTTGTTAAGTGCTCGAGATTTGTGAAAAATCATTGGTCGATTACTCATTCATACGCCAACGATTTTTACGAATAATTTCCGATTGGAAACTGTGCGATCGAAGTTTGTTCCAAAAGATTCAAATGTTGTACGTTGCTTTGTTGCTTGTCGTTGTTGCCTGTCGACTCGTCTCGAAATGATGGCAGTGTCGTTCGAAGTGAGCAAAATTTCATGAACGAATTTCTTGGTACACTTGGTACACATGTGCACCGAAGAATTCAATGTTGATCAATTATCGTGAAATTTGATCGAATTTGAAAATTAATAATATCTTTATAATTCTTAGCATATGAAACGCAATAATGGTTCGTATTTAATAATCGATCGCACGTGTTCCATCTTAAACGCGTATTGGCTAATGAAAGCCACGTGTCATCATAGTCGTTCTGTGTACTTTTCTTCTTGCTTCTTGGTAGGCAGTTATCACGTAAAATACGATGAAAATTCATAAGACACAAGCGGTTGAATGTTATATACACGTTCGTTAACTTTTGAACAAAGATAGGATCTTTGTGTTGGGAGTGAAAGAGAAAGCGTGTGGGTGAACAAGGGAGGCGCGACAACGAACTTTCGTTAATACTGATTAACGCATGATGATGATAATGATGATGATGATTATTATTATTTTCAATTACTACGCGCGTGTGTGTTCTTTTTTCATTAGGAACTAAATTCCAGAGGGGAGTCTAAGGGTTTCACAGAAAAATTTCCTTGCAAATAATCATATCGAGTGCCTCTCGAGCAACTTCGGTAGAACGTAATCGACGCGTCTTCGAGAATAAGGGCGAATCGAACTTTGAGTATAACACGCGTAAATCTCGAAGTCGGGTCGAAAGGATGGATAGAGTAGAAGAGACTTAGGTCGCGATGGCATTTGACGGAAGAAATATTGAACGTCGGTGAAGAAAACGGTGGCAAAACGATATCAGTCAAGTTAAAAAATCGATTGTCCAGCGATTAACACAAACGATTTGAATCGTCGTTTTTATTACAGTTCGTCTCGTGATTAAAAAGAAAAAAGAAGAAAGAAATCGTTGAAGCGCTGT